GGGAAACATGTAAAACATGTAGGGCTGCGGCCCTCGAGGACCAGGATTGCCCACCCTTGCTTTAATGTTTGCCAGCCTTGCTTTAATTTATGACAGTGTCGGTGCTCCATACATCAGTGTTTAAATGTTTTATCCTCGTCTTTTTCCTGCATCTCTGACTTTCTTTCCATTCTGACACCAGATTTTGTGCGTTTTATGTTCTTCTCAGGTGGATTTGATTGACACGAGCAGCGATGAAGACGAGCCTGGCTCTGTGGATGAGAGGAAATCTGGTTCGGTGGTGGATGTGGAGGATCTGGGCGACATCATGAGCAGCGTCAAGAAGGCGAAGGTCAGACTGATGACGTTACGATGACTGGATCATTTTTAGCTGTTARCTGTGGACTGATGGTGTCGGTGAAGTTTAAAGCTCCTCACTGCTTTAGTCCGTATGTTTTTGGATGTACGGGTTAAGATCTGGAGGCTTTCTGAGTAAAAACTGTCATGACTGAAGGAAGAAAAGCAGATGGGTTGATAGACTTCAGACCCCGGCGGACGAGCGTGCGTAATATCTACGACGCCCACTTCACAGATCTGTGAGGAGCGAGCGAGTCGAGAAGAGAAGAGCAGGAGATGTGAGAGTTGTTACCAGTCCTCGTTTATATTCTGCAGTGAATGAAACGCTTCGTTTCCCTTCAGATTACTGACGCKTTGATTCAGAACGCAGAAAAAACCTGCTGCTCTGCTGCAACTTTGTTACAACCTTCAAACGTTGTGATTCACACACATTTCCCAACATTTTCTAATCTTCGACACACTTTCATTTTRGATTTGTTTTATATATAATCTGTCAGAAATCTTAGTTAAAGTTCGTGCCTGGCCTATGATGCAAGTTTAGATCTGCAGCACGGCTCGACTCGGCTTTGTTTTTTCCCGTTGTTGTGTATCTTTACAGGCTCTTCTGCTGGTGGCTGGCAAACAGCTTAATGGAGCAGAACTGCCACCAGCTGGTAAGGTGTGTGGCACAARTCAAACCCAAGGCCCGCGTGCCAAATGTGGCCCACCACAGTATGTTAAGTGGCTCGTGAGAGCTTTGAAGAATGTCCTAAAATAAGTGTTTTATGCTGTAAAGCCAGCATTGACCATAAACCAGGACTGGACGGGGGTTAGCGGTGCGCGACTGCTCTTCTTCTGAATAAATGAAAACTGTAACACAGTTGTTTCCACTTAAATCAAAGGGATCCCTGATTAGTTGTAACATTAGACTTTATTTGATAAACATTTATTTTAACTGTAAAATAAAGACGTTTAGTTTTGTAAATTTTTAAAAATATATTACACGGACAGAGCCATTTTATTTGCACACAAAGCATTCTGGGTAAATG